GATTCCAAAAATAATATTATATACAGAGTGTTCCATTTGAAAAATCAAAGTTGCTACTGCTTTCTAATAGAAGCGGCAACACCGCATTGTCGAAAATATTTTAGTTGGCTAGAGAATGTCCGAATATGCCCTCCATTAAATTTTCAAAGTGATCCGTTGTCTGGTTCACCAGAAACGTCTAATGTGCCATCTACCGTGAATCAGCAGGTATAGTAGGCTCTTTGGTATAAGTCCGTCATCGTTATTCAGTGTTTACTTATTTCTACACTCTCATAGGCATCTAGTTGTCTGTTGTTGTTAACTTGTTTAACTAATCTTAATGAACTGAAGTCTATGGAATGGTTTTGTTGCAAAATATGATGGGCGACTGCTGATTTTTCAGGTCTTCCATATTTTAAGTGTGCTATGTATTCCTTATATCTTACTTTAATAGATCTTTTTGTCTGTCCATAATATTTTGCATCGAAGTCCTTACATTCAATTTCGTAAATTCCAGGCTTTTCAGAATTCTCGACTTTGTCTTTTGGACTTCCCAAAAGGCTCTGTAGTGTATGACTTGTTTTAAAAACCACCTTCATACCTAGTTCCTTGAAAATATTTCCAAAGTTCCTCGTATATTGGTGGTAGGGAACTGAGATGTATTTATCTTGATTTTTGTCCTTTCTGAAAGTCGAGATTTCGTTCATTCTTAACCTAAACTTCGTCTTCCTTAAGGAAGAAATTGAATGTAAGGACTGCGATGCAAAATATTATGGACAGACAAAAAGATCTATTAAAGTAAGATATAAGGAACACATAGCACACTTAAAATTTCTTGTTTGTACTAAATACCATTTTTTTAAATCTTATTTTGTTAATAACAATTGCAATTTTTTACCGGCACCAAAATCCATCAAAAACATTTTTCTAGAGGTGATTCCGAATCGAATGAGCTATCGCTCATATTTTTAGCACCTTCATCTCTATTTTTAATGTTTTTGAACTTGTAGATTAGACTATCGGACTAAATACCATTTCCCTCTCACACTCGTCCGACTGTATGATGGGAGTCGGATCTGAAGGGTGTATGACAGGTGTGTCCCGGCCTTAACTCGTTGACGAACAGTGCGCAATTTATTCCGAAAGATACAATTTATTAATATCTATAAACTATGTTATGTTTGGGTTGAAAAAAATTCTGAATATATTAGTGATGTACTTCCAAATGTAATAAATCATAGTCGTGGTTCAACTACTACCAAAAGATTGTGTGCAAATGTGGAATGCAAATGTGGAATCGGTTTTCA